TGGGAGAATGTTACTGGGTTTCAAGCAATTAGAGGAAGAAAGACTAGACGTTTTCCCATGTATCAGTCTTTGGAATGAAAGTAATCATTAACCGTTGTGGTGTTATGGGTTGAATTGTGTCCTCCTCACCCCAAAAAAAGATATGTTGGAGTCTTAATCCCTAGCACCTCAGAATGTGACCTTTTTAGAGATAGGTCAGGAGAAGTTAATCATGTTTTTTTTTAAGATTTTATTTTTAACTCATCTCTACACCCAACATGAGGCTCAAACTTACAACCCCACAATCAAGAGTAGAATGCTGAGCCAATCAGGTGCCCCCAGAAGGAATCAAGTTAAATGAGGTATTTGTGTGGACTTTAATCCAGTACGACTGGCATTCTTATTAAAAGGGGAAATTTGGACACAAAAACAGACACGAATAAAAGGAAAACAATGTGAAGAGACACGGAGAGGAGACGGCTGCCTACAAGCCAAGGCGAGGAGCCTGGAACATATCCTTCCTTACAGCTCTCAGGAGGAACCAGCCTTCACAACACCTTGATCTCGGACTTTAAGCTTCTAGAGCTATGAGATAATACCCTCTGTTGCTTAAGCCCCACAGTTTGTAATACTCTGTTATGGCAGCCCTAGCAAACTAATACATGGTACTAATACTTATGTTTGATATTATATATATACTCCTTTGGGAAACATTTTTTGTTTTCAAAAGATCTGAGTAAACACAGGAGTGTATCATATGCATTAACGTTGTTTGTTATATATATTATAGTAGAAATTAAAACCATTGTTAAAGCAAATTTTAGAAAGCTCTGAAGTTAAGATAGAAAACTGTGTCCCAAAGAAAAAGAAAACTGTGTCCCATAGGAAGAGCCACCAACCAGAGGATATTTAAAAATTTTTTAAAGTGAGTTTTTTCAGGTTATTAAAATAATGAATCCTAAACATAGAATTTGGAGCATATGGAAAAGTATAAAAAAATAACAATCATGTATAATGCCATGCCCCAGCAACATCACTGACAATGTTTGGGTATACTTCTTTTCAGTCTTTAGTCGATGCATAAATATATTTTTTAAAGATTTTATGTATTTATTTGAGAGAGAGAGCACAAGCAGGGGGAGTGGCCAGCAGAGGGAGAGGGAGAAAGAGAATCTTAAGCCGACTCCCCGCTGAACTCAGATCCCAATGCAGGGCTCTATCTCAAGACCCCGCGATCACAACCTGAGATGAAATCAAGAGTCGGACATTCAACAAACTGAGCCACCCAGGCACCCCTCTAAGGTCTTTTTAATAAGGGCACCAATCTCATTCATAAGGGCCCCACCCTCATGACTTAATCACCCCCCAAATGCCCCACCTGTTAACGCCATTACACTAAGGATTAGGTCTCAACACATGAATTTGTGGCAGAGAGTCTGTAGTAGTGACCTAAGTATCTGATGGCTATGCCACTCTCAACATCCACTTTTATTTTGGGTCTTAGATATATTTTTACATATACAACAATCCTTTCAATTATCTCAATTTTATGAATTAGGAGACAAAGCACATAGAGTATAAATGGCTTATCCAATGTCATATATTTACATAAAAGAGGGGGTAAAAAATGAATATTATGAGGAGAAACTCTACTGAATTACTAGTTTTGCCTAAAGGTTACCTGGTTATAAGGATTATTTTCCAACAGGCATAGGGAAAAAAGAACACTAGGGCTAACTTCCCTCCTAAAAGTAAAACAGACCAACGACCAGGGCCGAACGAAGAAACAGAATGTCTAAGGAAACATAGTTGCTCCCTCCCAGCCACCTCAGAAAATGGGGAAAAATATACATTCCCCTTCCCTCCATGACCTTCCTCCCATCACACCACACAACAAAAACAAACATCTAAGAGCTAGTCTGACCCTGGAGACTCTTCCTGAAAAGGAACTATTCTGGAGAGTTGTGTGTCTTTGACCAAGAAATAGTTCTGTTTGGGTAAGGAAATGGTATTAACATTTTTCAAGTCTGGGCAATGGCTAGATAGGAAGCTTTTGTTCACCATTGTATCCCCAATCACTAGAACGATGCCTGGAATACAGTGGACATGCAACAAATAATCGTTGAATGAACAGGTCAATGAATGAAGGAGTTATGATTGTGTGAACATCCTTCTTTCCCTTGTAGGACTTGCATAAAGCCACCTCAAAGTCTCAAAGGCAAAAACAGATCACGGAACCAGGTTGCCCAGTGTAGTATGCTGAGAATAGCCTTCTGGGCTCCCTTTGGAGCAAAACAGTTGAGGGCTTACCTGGAGGTATGGCAACTATATATTTAAGCCTAAAATATGGACATGGTTTAATGAACACAATGTATGTTGGGCAATAATGATATACAACACAACCACCCTGAAACACGAGCAAGCAATGTCCCTGCTCTGAGTCCTGCACTCTAAAAGGCTCCACCCTGGCCATCCTCCACGGGCTCCCACTCTACTCCCTGTGAGAAAACCACAGGGCCAAGGACCATGGCCCTCTGGAGTCTAAGAACCTCTTCCAGACCATGCCCTGGGTACCTGGGATCCCAGAATTCCCTGCACACATGTCCCCAGATCCACTTTTAAGATCTGCATGGACCTCTTCCAAGGACCATCTTCCCAGAAACAGATATCCCACCTAGGTACACAGCCCTAGGCCCAAGGGGTGGCCAAGGGATGGCTGTTTGCAGAGAATGTAGACATGTGGACTAAGCTGTCCACATCCTTGTGTATAAAGAAAGCCCTTCAAGATATGGGGTGGAGTTAGGGATAGAAGAAGAAGGGGAGTCGGGGCGCCTGGGTGGCTCAGTCAGTTAAACGTCTGCCTTCGGCTCAGGTCATGATCCCTGGGTCTTGGGATCAGAGTCCCACATCGGGCTCCCTGCTCAGCGGGGAGTCTGCCTCTTCTTCTCCCTGTGCTCTTCCCTCATTTCATACTGTCTCTCTCTCTCAAATAAAACAATAAGACCTAAAAGAGAGAAAGGAAGAAAGAAAGAAA